ACCCATGCAATCGACGCATCTTTGCCAACGCATTGGCAGTTTATTGATGCCCTTCTTGTAAAAATCAGCTGGACGGGAGGCAACAAACTCTTCAAAGGCATTTTGTACAGCCTCCCGGGAATTGTATATCTCTATTTATTCTATTTTGTAGTAGAATCAGACCTTATAGACCAGTCGACATTGAAATAATTATTCGTGAGTAGTGAGTTAATTATTAAGATATAATACATATCTTACTTGTTCTATCAATGTGGATATTATACAACTGGCTGCATCTCAGTTCAGTAACCTTAGATAATAAACTGTCAACAAATACTAACAGTGCTGATTATAACAATATGATTATATATATATTTATACGATCATGAAAGTAAACATTATATATTTAGTATTAATATACCAGGACCTATGGCATAAAATAGATTTTATGCCATAGGTCCTTACGGAATTTCATTGAACTTTTGCAACTTATAATTTATGTAAGTCTTTTAATATTAATAGCGTTATTAATTGTGATATATTTTGCATTTGTATTATGGGACACGTAGAACATAATTTTCTTAATAAGCTGATCACACCTGTAGGAGACTTGTAACATTGGCGGGCTTATGAACATATTAAATACTTTTATAAATTTTATTATAAAAAATGTAATATATTAATGTTCATGTAAGTGGTTTGCAAATTATATGGACGCACGCTTCGCGTGTTTATCTTACATCAATTTAATGGTACCTACTGTTTTATAAAGTTCACTAAGTCCCTTTACAAACCGACAAGTATAAGGGAAATGTACTTAAAAAGCAGTTATACTAAATATCTTTTTAATTACGTGGTTTTAAAACAAAGAAAAAGGAGTGTGTCGAAATAAAAGGACTATCATCATCATCATCAGCCTTTAGTATTCCACTGAATGGACATTGGACTCTCCTGGTTTTGGCCTACTATACCACGCTGGCCAGACGGGTTGGTACCTATAGGATTTCTGTCAAGTTTTTCTTCTCTTTGAAATGCTGTCGTCCTGCGTAATTTGCTCCCTTAGTCGGCTCTTACGACACCCACAGGATCACGGGATGAATAGAGATGGTGACACTCGGTATTCTTCACCAGTATCCGTCACCACAATTCTTTTATAAACCTAAACAAATTAATAGTAACACGACCAGCTTTGCAATTCAACGAAAGAAATTATTATTTTAAATTATAATGTGTAACATCTTTCTTTTCGTTTTCTTACAATCCGTGGGTCTGATTTTGCAAACAGGGACGGAAGGTGTAACAGAAGACTTATTGACTTTGAGCCAGCTGTTAGATGTTAAATATCATAATATGTAACTAATGCCAGTAGTTTTTTTTTTTATTTCATTAAATTATTAATGCAGCCAAACTTAACAAAATAGGTGGTTAAGCGACTCAAACTGGTTACGGGTTGTAAGGTTTGATCCAATGCAGCCATGAATCATTTTTTTTGTAGTCGTGAACCTGCTCATAATACAAGCATTTAGCTTAGCTAGAGGGGTTCACAAGAATACGGGCAATGTGTGACACACGTTGCTGTTATTTTCTCTCACAAAAACCCTAAATGATTCGGCGGAGCTATACTGCCGAAGTAAAAGTAAGATTGTTATATTTGTCTCCATTTATCCAATACAAACACTTGACAAATACAAGAAACAGCACGAAACAATTACAAAACAGTCATAATATAAAGACTTGCGTCCCAATTGTACCGCACCCAACCACACCTAAATTCGTCGTACAGCTGACACGTAGTTCGCGTTATCACACAGTAATGGGTGACCCACATATCACCACTTAGCTGACATTATCTAACCGCGGTATCACACTGACTAAATCGTTTGTAACAAAGTAAATTAACTAACAAACATAGTTTAGTGGATAGCGTATATACGATAGAAATTGCATACACACAAAATACTGACTAATACACAGACCGACAGTTTGCATACGGCTTCGACACAAGGGAACCGAAACCCACGCAAGCGACACAAATATGAGATTTACTATAACAATGCAATAAAAGACAAATGAAGTAATAACAAAGAAGCAAAATTTCAAGGTCACTGCAAAAAACACCTTTATGTAGGAATCATGAAATAGCCCTTTATTGATTATATTATCTCTCACCTTCGTTCTATTTTAAAAAGCAGGTCACAGTTTTGATAAGCGCGAGCCATTTCGTTGCAATATGTTTTACGATTACAAAAACGTGTCTGTTTCTCAACTATTCATAAATGGCATCTTAACTTTATTTTTCTACTACTGTGTTTGTTTATTATTCAAGGCAGCGATTGTTATAACATTTTGTCGAAAAAGCATCATATACCTTGGACTTCCTTGTAAGGTGAAATAAGTTATAACTTTATTCCTGAAATACAAAAACTGCACTACATGAGGATAGAGATTTTCTTAAAAACTTTGTGATGGACTTAAAACCTGGTTTATACATTTATTAATGGGCCATTAGCCATTAATCATGGATTTTTCTTGGCATCTTTTTTTAAAAGAACTGTGATACTTTGTAGTGTATTACATTATAACAGAAAAGTGTTTTTACCTTAATAAGCTGATGCATTATCTAAGCACCTTTTTTCTCGAAAAAAATCTTGCTGTAGTCATATTATAATCTGGACTACCAAAGGTTATATACAACCAACTTAGGCAAAAACCGTGACCAATTTCATTAAAAATTTTGTATAAAGAAACCCTGAAAGTTAACAAAAAATATGTTAACTTGACGGACAACCAAAAAATTTGTGATCAGGCCATAAGTTAAACTGTTTTTATTGAAATATAGGTAACAGTTGATGTTTGATAGTAGATAAAATACCCAATTATGCATTTACTAGATTATGCCCACTTAACAATTTTAAAAGTATTTTTTGTTGGGTTAAACATAATATGTAACGCAAAAGTATGTTGCCACCTAATACATATATGAACAAAAACATATTCAATTACTTGCTCTGTATTAACATTTGGTAACAAAAAGTACAAACAGCTACAAAAATTTTGCTATCTAAGTATTTATTTTACAAATGGCACTGGGTTACAAATTCAAGTACCAATATCAAAGTACAACTTCCCCATCCTATAGTTTAATGGCCACAGTATATATACCTATATGATTGGAAATTGTTTGATTGAGGTTGACTGTTTTATTAAAAGTATTAATAATAAGACAGTACTATAGATAAATAAATTTATGGCATTCCTTTATTTATTTTTTAGTTTCAAAGTTCCAGGATATGTATTTGTTGTAAAGATATTAGTGACAAAGGCCATCATAACATTGATGAAAACCACAGGTAATATTTTTGTAACAATTAAATAAGCACAGATGTCATCACAAGTGAGAAATGTAATTTTTTTATTAGAAATCACAGGCACTTCAAGGTTTAGGATTAGTTCAAGTATTTACTAACTTACTTTGCAATGTTTGCATAGATAATATTTCAAACAATAATCATTTTATCATTTGTGTTTTTACTTCAATGTGATTATAAAATTTCACAACTCATTATACTATTAGTCACACCTTTTAAATATAAATGCCACATTTTTGTTTTATCATGAAGATAGTTTATTCAATATTATCATATGATTCAGTGATAGTACTTATAACACATCTGTAAGACAGGTCATTAAATTTTAAAATGGTAATACCAATTTATATCATAGAACTCCAGTTTTTGTTCAACATTTTCATTAAAAGTAATAGCTCAAACACTAAAAATGTCAATAAAAGCATATTGTGTGTCTAATGAAAATTACATGACTATTTGTTGTTGAAAAAACTTTCAGGTATAAAAAAATTAAATCAATATAATTAAGCATTCAATGAAAAAAACACACACACACATTTGAAAACAGAACATTGTGTGTAATCACTAAGTAGGTCTTACAACAATGAGATAATAGACTACAGACTTGATATAAGCTACAGGACAAAGACAAAAGAGATTAAATTTTTATCATACCTTGTAACAAATAAAATTACATCACAGTGATAATGACCAAAATTTACCTTGATGCTATAATGAAGTCAAGTTCAACAAATTTTGTTGTACATGTGATTATTTTTGGAGTAAACATTACACATCATGCTATTACATTACTATAATCATATATTTTATACAATAGACTAACAATTTGTTTCTCAGTGAATTTAAGCTATTGTGAGGTTCTTTTTACAGGTTTTCTTAAAATTTGGAAACTCAAAAACATGTATATTCTCTAAATTATGACTAGATGAGATAGCATAGAATAAAAAATTTCAACACTACTTGAATCAAGACAAACCACAATAAAAATGATTAACATAATTATTGTGTTGTTACGAAAAAAATGCAATAAAGTAAAGTAAAATATTACTTTGAATATGCTTGTGACAAATAATAGACTAGGTGCACTAAGCATTCCAAAATATATTTTGTGAAGTTCTAAAAGAAACAGTTGATGCTTCTGTAGTTTTACTGTTAACTAACAGCTAATTAAAAGCCAAGGTTAATATTTTTGGCACCTATCTCAGTACGAAGGATGTAACTATCTAAACTGTTTACTGGCAATTAGATAATACTACACTGACAGTCTGTAAGAGATGTTATTTGTTATTTTATTATTACGCTTGTATTTAATGGAGTCATTATAATTTTAAGCCTCGTATGGGCCACACGATGACGCTCTAAATTATAATAATAAGTAGGTAATAGTCTTACTTACGAAGCGAAGTTTTTTTATTAGTCTAGAATTCAAATGGCACGAGATGCTTCGCGGCATCGTGGCCTAGCATTATTCCGAGGGCGTTCAACCGACATTAGGCGACTTAGCAACACCAGAAGTCTTTCACAATGGCCATGACATCGAATTTAAACAGCCTTCGGTCACTGGAGCATTGACTCTTTGAATACATCATAGCCACAAACAAAGTTACGAAACGAACGCGGGCGCATGTTTTCCTAACATAAATCGACACCGACTCACCTGTCAGATGACTCGGAGCTGTCGTATCTGTCTAAACATCTCTTTTTCCTTTCGTCTCCATCCACTGAGCTCGCACTAGACGATTTTCGGGAATATGTTTCGCCGACCGCCGCGCGATCAGCGGCCACGCTGCGCGTATCACTATTCCCACACGATTCACTCGTTTTAAGTTTTTTGTAGAACGATAACTTTACACTATCGTCATCAAATGTTTCGCCACTGCACTTCTTTGTGTCACCAAGTCCTTTATCGGGCGCGGAAAAAGTTAAATCGTTCGTTTGTTTCGGGCCGGCACGGTCCTCGGGCGACCCATCCGCCATCTTTGAGCGCACGAGTGTTTTGTCGCAAGTTTCCGTGCGACGCCGCATTCAGAGAAGGCGCTGCAGTCGCGTGCTGCAGGCGCGGAACGCGGCGAGGGGCGGTGTGACGTCACGGCGGCTGCGCGGCCGCGGGGGCAGACCACGGTGACGTAAGGACTCCGCCCCGTGCATGTGCAGGGAAGCTGTCATTGGCCGCGCGTTACGCAACGCGCGAGCCTATTCAAATACCCGCGCGAGAAGGGAGCGTAGGACTCGGCGGCGATAGGGACAGGCCCATCCCAGCCCTAGCGTTACAAATAATGCAGCGTAATGACGGTGCACAGTGCACAGTACACACACTCGCGGCGAACGACGACCGCCGACCGCATCGTCTCGTCATTGGGATGCCTTTGTCCTGCATCATTAACTGCATTCAAATTAACGATACGTTTTTGAAATTTTATGACATTGATTAATACGCTTATTCGTCTGAAATACGGAGGTATCCGCCTACTGGGAAAGAAAATTAAACAGTAGTTTTGTGAAAAGATGATAACTATCAACTTTATTTTTAGCACAAGTAGGTAGGTATCTACTTATCGAAGAATGGGGAAAAGTATTAATGAAATTACACTGGGCTCCTCAAAAACAGAAGTTATACGTAACAAAAATCGTAAACAAAATAAAACTGTACCTAAGTAAGTGCGTAGGTATAGACTGAATCAATTACCTATCTAAGGGTAGGTAGGTACCGACTTACGTACCTACTTACATAGGATAAGGACCTACCTACCTAAAGATAAAATTTCTTGCCAAATAAAAAAGATAGTGTTACAAATAAATAGGTATAGGTTACGTTTTCAAACCTTGCAACACTACTATCAAGCTCTGAAGTTGATATTTTGGTTTTTGAACAAACTTAACCATGTGTTAAACCATTTCTTCAATTACGTAGTCTACTAACATTAATTAAGGAGTTCCGTTTTAGAGGAGACGAGTTCCAAGAGTAGATATAGGTGTAGGTAGGCAGGTATTTACCTGAGTACCTGCCTACCTACCTTTACTATATAGTACCTACCTAGGGAAGTAAGTTTAGAAAAATTATCTAGGTATTACCGACTTCAATTTGCCCACATCATAATAAATTCCTTACTTTTCAAATATATTCCTTACTTTTCACCCTTGAGGGTGGCTCTTTTTCTTAAATTGTGAATAGGACCAAATGGTTACGGGAATTATCTTCTTACCCGTTCAAAAAAAGAAAATTCCAAATCGGTTCATAATTACCTAATGACCTTGACCTACGAATTTGAGAACTTTCTTCTTTTTTGTAGTCGGTTAAAAGAAAATTAATCATTCTTTCAAATACATTTAGGTATCTATCTACTAACTTAAATATACAAATTGTACCTATATACGTACTAGGTAGGTAGATGTACACCTATGTACCTTCGTACTACACACATAAGTATATAGTTTACGTCTCATACTACTCACACTTGTGTAGCCTAGCCGTAACCTTGTCATAGTTTGGTCTTTATGACACATAATTATTAATTACCCATATTTCTTAGACCATAACTTGGGCCTCGACTCACGTGCATGGGCTAGGCATTCAACTACAACGAGAAGCCGAAAATCGTGTGTGTAGTGACTTGTCGAATCAAGTGGCGTGCAATAGAGAGGCCTATGACCAGCAGTGGACTGCGAAGTGGTCATTTCACACCAGTCGCTATTCTAACATTTTTGTTAACCATAAACAATAACATAAAACAGCGTGAGGGGTCTACTGGACCCCCGGTTGGAAAGAAGTGTCGGCAAAAAGTCTTGTTACACATTTTACATTACTGATAAACTATAAAATTTAACTTATCACTACAAATAACAATAAGTATAGAATAACTTCACAATAAATTTGTATTTCGTCACTCCCCTAAACTATAGCCAAGTTAAAGCCATTAAACGTAGAACCATAGCATACCAGAATGGGCAGAATGTAAATAAATATTACGTGATTGGCAGCCATTAGTGGGTGTGCGTGTGCGTTAGCGTGCATGCGTGTGTGTGTGTGTGTGTACGTGCACGTGTGCACGCATGCGTGTGTGTTTGTGTTAGTAGTGTAGTGTAGTTCGTAAATATTTGGTTTTTGATCATAGATTTTTGTTTCTGGAGATACCTTGTAACAAAATGGTTCAAAACAATAGTTTATCAAAAAATCAAAATTCTTCGATGACTTTTTTTAGACACATTGGCAATAAATCATGGATATTTTTTATATTTGGAATATTAATCCACACTTCGTAATTATGTAATATAAAACCTTATAAGTAGGCATAGCGTCACGCGTAGTTACCTACATAGTTTAATTTCGTTTTGTTATAAGCTTCATTATCTAACGGCTCTACTTTTCCTTCACCTTCCCTTCTAATGTTGGTATAATATGCATCTCATTTACCAAATGCGGTATCAGCGCGACTTGCGACCTAGCGTAGGTAGCGAGTAGAGCGAGCGAGTAGGCAAAACTTCTACGTCAACTGGCCACAACATCCTACGGTCAACTCAGATTCAGCAGATACATATAAGTATACGCTCGAGATTGATGATTAAAACACGCTAATCTGCTCGAATAGGGCCTCAATTCTGCTATTTTATGTTAATGCCAAGCCACTGTCATTCCATTGACACGATATTGAGATGCCATTGAGATGCCACTGACAACGGTCAAAATATTGGTATTCTACTAACATAAATTCCAAGTGTCAATAGACTGTCGATATAGTAATATAGGTCATCAATGGTTATATCAACAACATTGCTATATCTAGAAAATAAAATATGTCATTTTCTCACAAATTTAAAATGTACCGTTTACTAAAACTATTATAAAGACATCGACGACATTCTTATCAGTGACAAGTCATTGGGAGATCATTGGTCTTAGATAGTTAGTAGAATAGGAAAAGTGCAAAACTATTCCGACGACATTCCATCGACAGTCTATTGATACAATATTAAAATAGCAGAATTGAGCCCCAGCTCGTATGTTCAGGAACATCGTCATTATCATGATAACAAACTCGACTTGAGACTGCGACAGCTTTTAAGACCACATAGCAACTGCGACAATAGTGAAGAGTAAGTTCAAAGATACGCCGCATTCCTGGGACTGCTTGCATACAAATTTCAGCTCTATTGTAATGGTATAAAGTTAATATTCACATTTCAAAAACGCTTGTGAATTTTACCGTTAATCTGAGGTAACCCTTAGTGCACAATTTATTGTTAAAACTTACTTGATTGCGAGGGTGACGGGTCAAACAATAAATTTGTAAGTTTTACCCATAAGATATCTTTTTAACGAACTTAAAAAAAGTGCATTTTCTAAAAACTCTAGCATTTATGAATCGTATGGGAAAAATATATTTTATTTATAATAGTATAATAATTATTTATTATTTATATACAAATTTGAAGAAAAAATACCACTAAGGGTGAATTAAGGAATAAAGGAACACAATTTTTATTCATCTTTATGTAGGTATGCGCATTAAAGTTGATAGGTACTTTTTGTGAAGGTGATTTTAATAAACAACACCAACACCTTGCGAACGGAACGCGCTGTCTGACTAGAATACCTACAATGCGGTTGGGACCTGCATAATCTACACCTTGCAATATTTTTCGCAGTCGAAATAATAAACTATGTAAACGGATTAACATTTGTGGCAACTTCCAAATACAATGAAACAAATCATACTACAGCGCCATCTATCCAAGACACACCGAACTACGAACTTACTGCTAATCCCATATCGTGATATGAAAAGTTCTCACGCCGGTTATCATCAATCAATCAATCAGTTTTTATTGTGAAACAGGTATACAAAGGTTGTTTACAGTGGTAGAATGATCTACTATGTTCTGCCATTTAGGCTTACAATAATTAAAAAAAAATATTTTGTGAATCGCTAAATTTCAGACATGCAAATATAATATCATTGAATTATCGCAATTAAAGCAATATAATATTTCAGTTTGATTTTTCATACCTTAGAGCGTAAAATATGCAAAATCAATAAGTCTCTATTTTATAAATTATGTATAAAATTTTAGAATTAAGATGTCAATAAAGTAATGTAAATAAAATAAATTACAATGTCAAATAAAAAATAAAGACAATAAATGAAAATATAATTCTCTAATCAAAATATTAAAATTATGGAATAAGTACATATGTATTTGTAAATTCATTTCTGTTAATTAATTTATTATTCCCATTTACCATCTAAAAATTATCTTATATCATAATAACATTTTTCAGATAGGCATTCTTGTAGATGTTTTTTAAATGGGATTATGTCTAGATTTCTGATGTGATCGGGTATCTTATTATAGATGACAGGTGCCATACAGATTACACTTTTGCGCATTAATTTTGTATTTGCTTTTCTTATTCGCATCCTATTACTGGTGTGGGTTCTTCTATTGCGAGTAACCGTATCAGCTACTGTTTCGAACAGTTCCAGGTTCGACTTTACGAAAACTGCTGTTTCAAAAATGTATAAAGATGGCAATGTCATAATTTTATACTTTTTAAAATATGGTACACAACTATCTGTTGATTTCAATTTGAACATTGCTCTAATGCATTGCTTTTGAGATTTGAAAACAATTTCTTTATATGTCGAGTTTCCCCAGAATAGTATGCCATATCTAAGATAGGAGGCGGTTATTCCATGATATGCTTTAAGTATACCTTCCTCATTGAGCAGAGGTGCAAGCTTAAAAAGTGCATAGGCTGTACTGCTGATTTTTTGCATAACTGTTCAGTATGTATTTTCCAATTAAGCCTATTATCAATATTCAGTCCTAGGAATTTTGTAGCGTCAATTTCATTTATTTTAATATTATTATATGTTACATTCACATCTTTAATTATATTATGTCTTTTTGAAAATTGTATTAAATTTGTTTTGCCTAAATTAATTTTTAAATTATTTTTATCCATCCATTTTATAATG